ATTCCCAGTTCCCCATTCCCAGTTCCCATTTCCCATTCCCAGTTCCCAGTTCCCAGTTTTCCATTCGCAGTTTTCCATTCCCATTCCCAGTTCCCCATTCCCAGTTTCCCCTTTCCCAGCCCCATTCCCATTCCCAGTTCCCAGTTCTGCATTCCCAGTTTTCCATTCCCATTCCCAGTTCCCCATTCCCAGTTTCCCCTTTCCCAGCCCCATTCCCATTCCCAGTTCCCAGTTCCGCATTCCCAGTTTTCCATTCCCATTCCCAGTTCCAATCCCCATTCTCATCCCCATTTTTCCATTCCCAGCTTCCTATTCCCAGTTCCTATTCCCACTTCCCATTCCCAGTTTCCCATTCCCAGTTTCCTGTTCCCATTCTTATTCCCAGTTCCAATCCCCATTCCCACTTTCCCATTCCCACTTTCCCATTCCCACTTTCCCATTCCCAGTTGTCCATTCCCAGTTGTCCATTCCCAGTTTCCCATTCTCAGTTTCCCATTCCCAGTTCCAATCCCCATTCCCAGTTTCCCATTCCCAGTTTCCCATTCCCAGTTTCCCATTCCCAATTCCCAATTCCCATTTTCCCATTGTGCTGGAATTCCCAGCATTCCCGGAATTTCCCCTCTCTCTCTGGAATTCCCGGAATTTCCCCTCTCTCTCTGGAATTCCCAACATTCCTGGAATTTTCCCCTCCCTGGAATTCCTGGCATTCCCGGAATTTCCCCTCTCTCTCTGGAATTCCCAACATTCCTGGAATTCCCCTCCTGGAATCCCCGGCATTCCCGGAATTCCGCCCTCTGGAATTCCTGACATTCCCGGAATTTTCCTCTCTCTCTCTCTCTCTGACATTCCTGGAATTCCCCTCCTGGAATCCTCGGCATTCCCGGAATTTCTCCCTCTGGAATTCCCTGGAATTCCCGGAATCTCTCCGGAATCTCTCCCGGCAGTGACCTGGGCGTGCACGTGGACGGTTTCATCGCCAGCGTGGCGCACAGCCTGGTGCTCGGCGCCTCCAAGGTGGGTCCTCCGGGGGC